TACAAATCTGATCGCCTCAGTTACTAAGGTTGTTAGAAAATCGGGGATCCAAAACTCGCCGATTCGCAGCCGCGCAAAGAAATGGGTGTCTCTGCGAAATTGATCTTGGCGAGAATACAATCGATTTCCAACAGACAGCACCTGGAATAAATATCGACATTTGCGAAGCCATTGTACCCAGTTGGTACGCGACGATAAGCTGAAGTATCAAGAAACGCTCTCACAAACATGTCATTATGTTGAGGAAAGTAAAGTATCGGATACCCGCACTCAGCTGTCTCGGGAAGGTCGCCAGTAACACCCAAGAAGCAGCTGAGATGCTGAAAAACCAATATGCCCAAATCTTTGACACACCCAACAACGCGAGACTGCGGCTGCCTCGTCGGATACTCGTTCTTCCAAATCCACCACTGACTGCCTTCACGTTTGATGCCGACGGAGTGAAATCAAAGCTTCTGGTTCTAAGTAAGTATTCGGCTCCAGGTGCAGACAATCTACATTCCCAACCGCTTACTGCGTTAGCGGATCACATATCTGAGCCGCTAGCTTTTTTTTTCTTAAGGATATTTGACGCAACCGTGCTACCCCAGTGGGGGAAACAAGGCATAATTTCTCCAACTTACAAATGCGGCTGTCGTAGTGATCCTTCTAACGCCCGGTGACTCCTACCCATTCTATCCAAAGTCATGGAATCCCTCGTATTATGATTCATACATGGGAAGACTTCAACCATTGGGTCTATACTCTGCTGACTGTCGTCGGATTCGAGGAGACTTAATTTTAGTGTACCAAATACTACACAACCCAAACCACCCTTGTCGCCGACTTTTGACGTTGTTATCATCTACGGAGACATCCATTCGAGTTAATACTCCAAAAATCTCGACTGGACTATCGATGTCATACCTTTGCCGTCAGAGTGTGCACTACCTGGAATTCCTTATCATCTCATGTCGTTTGTGCCATAACGATTGATTCTTTCAAGGTAAAACTTGACGAATCATTAACACACGTTGCATTCCAACATCCATGAGCACACATAACACAACACAATACAGCATATGGAATTTCCTTCATCATTGTTACAATTCAACTCGTGTAAACACCCTATGGGACAAGGAAGGCATCAGCTTGCATGTACTGCCCATAATAAAACTGTGAACTTTGACTTTGACATGAAACCAGCGAGATAATAACGTCTGCATTGTTCTTTCTAGTGTTCCTCGTAAGCAGGTTATTCCAAGCTCGATTAGTTGAGCAAATAGGAGTGACCAACTCATCGCAACTCAAAAACTCTATGGCTGATAGAATGAATTAACTGACAAATGGTGACGGAAGAAGATAAAATGCAAACAATGGTGGTTCATTCAACGTTGGTACATGGTATCGGTGCATGTTTGTCACATGAAAAAGATAAACACGGATCCGAACGCTCGGATTTACGCAAGAAGTCAATAGAACAACCAACGACGAAGCCATACGCTGCACTAAAGATATTGCAGGGGTATCACAAATAGCGATAGCACTCAGACTGAGATTCTCGATGTTTTGGGACCCCAAACGATGCGAGTGATTGTGAGAGGAGCCTGCTTCATGCAACTCATTCAGTATTTTATATTTTTCACCTGACAACATAATTTGTTGATGGACCGAATTTTCCGGTGACAGACAGCTACAGAAAGAGAAGCAGGAAGGCCGTGATTAGTGGTTATGCGGGCCTAACAATAAGATTTAATTGAGACGTTGGTAGCCCCAGAATGCATACCAATCTCGTTAATATGTTGTGACTAAATGTTTTGTTGAAAATATTAGAAGAAAGCGGAACACTACGGTGTTTTCAACCGAAATTAGAAAGATGCATTCGTACACTAGCTTTCAAGTGGAACGGAACGACAATAAACCAAGATAATATATATCCCGGGGAAAACACCAAGCACAAACCTGTGTCATTTTTTCGGCGTACGAGGCGGGATCGGTGACCCATCGACAATTTTGTTTCACAAGCCACGTTTTGATATCCTCAGAGTCCAGCTGAATGGGATTAATGTTCATGTCAAATTGTGTGAACGTTTCCACGTGATATTTGCAAGCCAGTAGAAAGCAAACTGTTTCATGCTGAACACAGAATGAACAACGAGGAATATTGCGTTTTAGAATCAGTGAAAATGTGGCTGGCTGGAACACCCTTCAGTAGGAGTGGATGGAAATCCAAGTTAAAATCAAATGCCTCAAGAAGGCTGAATTAAGCCCATCTTTTAGAAGAGCTAAGTTATGGTTGATCATGAAATGTGCAAGCCAATGAACAGTCTATGGCGTTAACCAGGAAGAAAGTAGTGGCAATCGATTGAAAAAAGAAATAAAATGTAAGAGTGAAGATGCTGTGCCAGACTTTTTTCCAATGATTGGGTGACACGTGGATTACGTACTTCACCTTATCTGGAATTGGACTTTGGGCTCGTATCTTTTTCTTATAACACACGTAAGTGTAATGAACAGCAGACGGGGTAAACCCCATAGTCACGGGGACCTGCTGTTGAGTGGTGGAGACCGGCAACCTAAGCCCTGAGACTTGGTGTGGCGAACCACATAAGGCCCCAATAGGTTATGTAC